TGTTTGGAATGGAGATGATAAATCAGGTCGCGGGCTGTGATGATAAGGGTTAGAGACGTTGTTGGCGTTAAATGAGTTTAATTATGTTGATGACTGTAATGACGGCAATTTAATTTTTATAAACTGGGGCGGGGGCGAAACACTTGATGACGATGACAGCTGACGATGTGATTTTTAAAACTTTGTGCTTTTGACTTGCTGTTTTATTTTCTCATTGCATACACGAAGTACTACTTACAAGAACTGAAGCTCGAGAGCGAGGGGCGCAGCGTTGTAGCCTACAACCACAAATTCCGGAAGTGGCTGGAATTCCCTAAAGGATGATGTAGCCAAGTACAGGGTGTTGGTATTTTCCTTTGATCTTAAGCAAACACATTGCTGTACATTGTGGTGCATTCAATTATTGTTTTCTCCCGCTATTGCAACATCACAAATTCTGTGACTAACAAGATAGGTTTTTAGCTTAATGTGTGTACCAAACCCCTTAATGCACTATAATTTTGTAGCTGCGTCACTAGATACCCAAAAATGATTCAACTCATTCCTTTTTGATAAAATGATGTCAGGAGAAGCCTTTGCTTGCGCCAGCTTGCTGATCGTCTGCCGATAGAGGTGTGACTGGAACACTTTGTCACATTTGGCAAGTGTTTAGTGAGACTCAAAAAAAAAAAAAAATTGGCTTGTTCTCCTACATCATTATATAAACTTGGAGGTGGAGTGCTGGAAGAAACTGTGATGAATGTTGATGTCATCATGGCCTGTGCAGTAAAGTACAACAAACTACAATTTTCTGCATTTACTGATGTATTCAAATCAGCCTCAGAGAAGAATGTAGGCCTACTGCCACCACACTAAGTAAAGCAGCAGTAGCAGTCCAGTAAATGCGTAATTAAAAGCAATGGCATTTCTGTTATAGCTTTTCCATATTAACAAAGAAAACACATTACCTGAGTTATCACTGCAGCGCCTGTACAAAAAGATTACTGGTGTTCTCTTAAAGAGGAGGTTCCTCATTGTGCCATTTCATAGCATAAAGAACAGGGAAAATACATAAGCACACATGTAAAACCCATTACAGTGACCATCTGCATCTCTTCTTTCATTGGAGATAAATTTATTTCAGATTTATAGCAGTAAGCAGCGTCATATTGAGCCAATCTGTTAAATTGGTCCTCATGGTAACACTGTTTGTTTAGTATAATCTAAATGTATTACAGACGTGACATCGTAATAGGCTTGTAATGAATACCAGGTATGTGGTCCCTCTTACAGTCATCAACAAGAACCCAGATCCATACAGCCAGAGCCCATAGAAATGCAATCACGGTGACTCTGAAAAACGTGTATTAATATTGGAGACAGCTCTGTGTCTGAGAGGATATTTAATGTGATTTATGACTTTGGGGCGTGATTGCATGCTGCCTACACCATTATGCTTTTGCCAAGCACTGTAAAGTTGGAAAATGTTACCTCCACTGCAACACCAACATTAACAAGCTGAGACACATTTTAAAAATGTAGTTGTTATATTCTTATTAATTCCTGATGAAATTTACCACTACTAATACACAACCTTTTGGGATATTTGTAGACAATACAACTCCACTACTGTATTCTTAGAGCATGAGAGCGTGTATCATCAGCTTTAGAGCTCCTACATTACACTGAGAAGAACTTCAGCCAGTTCAGCTAGGGTCTGAGGTGTGAGATCCTTCCTGGAGACTCACATGACTACGCTGTCCACTTAAACTGGCAGTAAGTAAGTGCCTCAGTCTATAATAAAAGTCAAATTGTCTGGGTGTGCAAACCAGCAGTTAATTCAGGGACAATAGTATCTAAGATACTGTCTCAACAACATTAGGGAAGTCAGGCTGACAATGTTTCCCCTTTTGCACAAAACACTGCTGTACCTCCGCCCAGCAGCCCCAGCTCTACCATATTCTCTTTTTATGAGATGTAGCTCATACTATATGTCTTGTACCTCAGGCGGTCCAGACCTCTAAATATAAAAAGTTACTGTATTTAATGTTTTGAATGCCATCCAGTCTATATGTATTGTGCTTAGCAAAGACTAAATCACATGGGCAAACATAGGTTTTGAATAAGACTGGTGCCACGACATGCTTATGATGAGTCTATAATCAGAGGAAATCCATCATTGAGATGTGTTTGATCATACTTTAAGTCTGCTGACTACCCTAGTGTATGCTCTGCTATATGTCTGTAATGCATGATTCAAATTATCATGCATAACTTAATGTAGCATGATGCTGCAATTAAAAACACATACTTTCTCTTCTATTAAAGGGAGTTTCAGAGTGTCATTATTTTATAATGCTATAAATTGCCTTCCATAGGTTGAATATCACCGTGCTCTATTAGAGGCGTACTCACTCAGGGTCTCAGTAGCCTGAGCTGAGATGGAAAGCAGAGATGTCTGGTTTACATGTAGAAAGCCACAACTCCTAATTCTCACAGTAGAGCAGCATGACCTGATCCTTGGCTACAGTCCCTCAGGCACATATTTCTTCCTACAAGGAGAATGTCCATTTGCATGGCATGGAACTAAACCTGCTGGCTTCAAACTGCAGCACCGTAGCATCCAGTTTGTGTCTGAGAAGGAGAAAAATAAACTGTGGGTTAGATGTAAACATACGTGGTTGATCATTGTTTCACATCAATTCAGTCAAATCTCACTTTCAATTACCTCTGTGTGGTTACATAACTGACATGTATGATCAGCTTGCTGCAAGTAGCTAGAGTATGTGTCTCCACTCAGAAGGGGTGTAAAAATGAGTTAAGATGGTAGAAGAAAGGCATATGAACTGTCTTGGGTGTAGTTATTATACAGGCAAAGCATCCTACTACTATTCCCCAGTTCTACTCAGTGTATCACACTCAACAGTGCAACTTGCCATCAGACGAGATTAATATGTTTACTGAAGAATATTGTTTTAGGCTCAAAATTCAATGAACACACTGGATTGTGGGAGAGGAGACAGAACATCAAACAGTGAAAGTTTTATGAGATTTGATAATTGTGGAGTGTTTTGGTTTGGAGGACAATAAGTTAAGGCAGCATTAACAAAATGTATATTAAAGTTAATTTTAGGTATTTCCTCAGCAACCTGCAATACATTTGAACTGCACTGGTCTCCTGTATACATACGCCCGGCATATTGCACTAGAGAACTGATCTTGAAATGTTTTGGATGTCTTACAGTAAGAATGACATCCCACTGCAAGTCAATTACTAATATGACTGATGGATTCCTTATCTGATCCACATATGTGTCTAGCATTGGTTACAGTCCATATTTAGGATTCATTTGAACTGATTTTGCATTTATTTTGGGACTATTATTGGAGTAGCTTCTGGATATGAAGACCTTCTGAGATACTGGAAAATACTGCCTTTTGGTTAAAAGCTTTTTGTAAAAACCTCACTTATTAATAATTTACATTCAATGTATTTTCCTTTTTCTCCATTCTGTTTTAATAGTGATGAAATAATGTCTGTGATTTTGAAAGGAACCCAGACAGCGTGTGATGTAATAGTCATTTATTTGATATAATACACAACCCCTCTAGTTACTCTGTGTAACTGTGTAGCCAGATCAGATATGCAACTATGAAATATATTTCTACACTGGTTTCCCTTAGGAAACCAGCAAATTGCAGGAACTTAGAAAGCCTTTAGAGGGAGCCATTCATCATTCTGTTGCAGTAATGTAGTGACCAAATGAGGACATTAATCACTGGGACAAAGATTAAGGGTAGGTAGCATTCAAATATGTGTCCACTCATTTTGTATCAAGTAAAATTTTTTAATTATAAGTTTTATAAAAATACACACCGCTATCCTGTTACTGTTGCTGTTATTTATATACAGAATGTTACTTCAACAATGTTTTATTGTGTGCTAAATAATCACTGGCCATATATTTCAAATGCCATTTTAATCTTATTGTCATTCCCTTTATGTCAGGCTGGAGGAGGCTGAATCTATAGTTCTGTGGTAGATTAAAAGATTATGGTGGGTGTTGTTTTTTTGTTTTTTTTTACGTGCCTAATTACGAGCCTAATATGACAGTGTTTCTCTGGGCATCAGAATCCATGCAGGTGTTTGATGATTTTGAATATTTATTCCACATAATGTCAAATGTTAGTTACTAATTTAGGCCTACTGTGCTGTTGGAGTAAGTGTTTAGATGGAAGGTTATCTGCATTCCTCCAAGACCCATGGAGGAGGGATGGCCTGAAGGAGAAAGAGCTTGGAGGAAACTGCAAACTCTCTGTTACAAAGCCATTTAATCTTCCAAGATAAAATATATTTCAATTAAAATCCAGCTTTTTTTTTTTTTTAGAAAATGTGAAGATTTAGAGACTCATCAAATCTGTGTTCCCTCTTTTGCCATCTCTCAATAATGATAAAGCTGGAAAGGTTCAAAAGCAACAACAGTGTTGAAAGTAGGGCTCCAATTAAAATACAAATATTTTCGACTGTGATCCCAATTAGACTTCTGGCATAAACCAAACTATATTTTCCCTGTGTATCTGTAATGCAAGGAGTTTTGGTTTTATTGACATTATTTTGGTAAGTCACTTATGATTTGTATCCAATCACCAAGCTAAAGGTTGTGTTGTGTGATAACGTTAGCTAGCAAAACATTAGCTCAACAGCTCGAATACAATTCTGTTCACTTTTAGTTTTTTGGGCAGTTATGGATGAATTTCACAACTGTGGCACAGTAACGGTACAGTAAAGTTAACTTGCATTACAGTAAGTTAGTCATTAACATTATAACGTACATCCATGATAATTAAGTAAGTTCGCTGGAGTTTATTTGTTTGTTTTTGTTAGTGTAACGTTATCATCAGTGCTGTAATTCGCCTTGACTTGTTCTCCTTAGAAACGGTGGCTGATGCTCTCGGGTAAGTTATTGTATTTAGGGCGACACGCCTTTCCAAACATTTTTTTGTAAGCTGGGTGGAGCGATATCCTTTCAAGTACTAACCTGTTGTATACAGTCTACGATACCGACACACTAATCCCTAGCGTTGATTAAACACGCAGATAGCGACCTTTCTCGAAAAAAAGACTTTTTCGTGACTGAACGCTACCTGTAACGTTATGTGTGACGTGTAATGTTACCTAACTTAACGTAACGTTACAGTCCTGGAGGTCCTTCTCTTCCCCTCCTCAGATGGGGTTTCTTCTGTTAACTTGTGAGCTAACTCAAGAGTACTGGCACCTGACCCCTCCCAGTCCCTGTATCAGTGGTAATATTACTCACAGGGACTTTGTCTCCCACCGTAATGTAAATCAGTCGTTGAACTTGCTCCACTTTTAAGCTGCGAGCATGTGGACTGCATTTATGCGGGGCGTTTCGTCTGGAGTCAAATGGCGTCACTTTATTTGGCAGTAAGTGGCAGTCGACACGTTTGAGAGGGGACTTCTCATGCATGGCGACTGGAGTATATGTAACGGGGGGACCCCTTTTCGAGCGAAGCATCGCGTATCTTGTGAGTAGCTGCTGTTTGTCTCACTTACAAAAGTGGAGGAAACAATTACAGGGGGCCAAAAACACAATGACATAAACGCATTTATGTAATGGCAGCCAGACTTTGGAAAGTAGCCTATTGAAACATCCTAAAAGGCGTGGAAAAAATGTTTAACCTGCAAATGTGAGTGGTGTTTTTGATGAATAGCTTTTTTTCCCAGCGATGCTTAATTTTATTGTAACTGTACTACACTGACTGACACACCAACGTTTCTGTGATTCCCACTCCTGCATCTCCACTTCTTCCCAATCCCACTTCTTGTGCACAGTTGTGTCATTACAAATTAGTCAACATCAATAGTTTGTTAATTGCCCAGCCCTCCAAGGACCCTTTCTTAATAATAAAGACATTACCTTGAAAGCAAAGAACAAATATTAGATATCTACTTGAATTTCAAACAGTGTACTCTGTGGAGCACATTTATGTAAGTTATTCATTTATTTTAAGAGTAAGGGAATGTGAGAAATTGAATTACTTTTTGTGTTGCTGCCGGTCGTTTCCGAGTTTTAAAGGATCAACACACCAGTATTGTTTTGGTTTTGTATACTTATAAAAAGTGACACGATACGGGACAAATGTCTGCAATTGTATGCAGTTTTTAAACATCTCATGCTGAAATTTAGTGTTGAAGAAAATAAAAACAAGAATGTGGACAGAGTTATAGGAGCTCTTGAGGAAAACTCTTCCCCTGCACAATGCCCATTGAATGGCTTCCTGAGCACTGACGAATATTCATCACCTCCCTGGAGCTAGTTCAAGTGTGGTTGATTGGTGTAATCAGAGCTTTCAATCTTGCTATTTTGTATGAACTACCTTGCACGTTTCCTCTCATTGTATTCCAGAGAGCACTAACAAAAGCTTTGCTTTTCAACAAGGCTTTGAAAAAAAGTACTGGACTGCCAAGGAAAGTGCACCTTGCTGTGGATTCACTGGGAATGGTTCAGTTGGTGTGCTTGTTATTGCTGGCTTTGTTGCAGCAGTATAGAAATAGGTGACTAAAAACAAAAACAGGAATATTTGTAATGTATGATCAATCAATTGACTATAAATATTGGTATCAAAATTGCAAAAAATTTTATTACCATGTAGTTCAAATGTCAAAAGAGCAACAGTAAAAAGGGTTATAGCACTGTTAGGCTTCTTTCTGTAAAGTCAGATGGCTCATGCTGTTGCTGAGAGGCAGCCAGGACAGATATAGTATTTTAATTTTACATCATAACGTACCTGCTTCATCACTGACTGTTGCAATCATGCCCTCAGTGTAATAAGAAACAATGACTGGGAGCAGCTGTTTGAGTCTGACATTCTTCCATTGGGACAAATTTGAAAAAAATTATAGACTAAAAGGTTATGTTAGAAAAAAGCCACAATATGTAATTATTGTATAGGCATTTTTTATTCTGATATCCATCTGACAGTAGTGGATAAGTGAGTTTCAGCGTTCTAACCAAGCGATTATGCACTCAAAAATCATGTCTGGACATGAACCACTCAAACCTATGATTGTGGAATAGCTAAAGGTATTGCATCAAACTGTGGTAGGCCTACACAATACTTGGTATTTTGGCACAAGCAAAGTTATTCACTTTTAATATAAGGACATCACTTCACTTATGGAGAGAGAAACTGTGGGAAGCCAGCTGACCCTCACATCAGATAGGGAGAAAGTTTCCACTCCCATATAGTCACACGAGAGGAATGTCTGAACAAAAATGGTTAGATGACAGCAAATATGACTGTATATTGATGTTGCCTTTTTGTGTCCCTGATCATATGTTGCCATGCTTAAATGATGGAAGTGAGGGCAAAAAACAACATAGCATAAACATATTTATGCTGTGAGCTGTCTATAGTTTATATTTCAAATTATCATTACAAAGTCTCTGTATGATATTCTGAGCTGCTGTGATAGAATAAGGCACTGTCAATCTTTTGCACAATTAAAATGCACTTTCTGTAATAAAACACCTACAAGCAAAAATCCTATTATGTGGGGGACCCTGTGACAAATCAGATGGGAATCTGTGATCTTATTTGTGTCTGTTTAGGAGTTTGATGTGAAAAAGTTTGAGAACCATTGTACTAGTGTAGAATGGTAAACTACACCTCCATTTGTTAGACGCTTTGTTTTAAAACCAGAGCGGAAATGGAAAGCCTGGAGCAACAAACTAATCTAAAATATCTAATGCTCTTTATTACTTGCCACTTTATGATATAGTCAGTACTGTAGTCCCCTGTAAGTAGTATTTGTGTATCTTCTTGTCTTGTTCTTGTGATTCCAATATTGTGCATTATCATGTGGACTAAGTGTTTTGTCACACCCCTAATATGATGTTAAATGTCCTCACCTCTTTTCAACACAAAGTGACACCCTTGGTTTTTATCTAATCCTCTGAAGTTAGCCTGCTCTGGAGCAGGTTAGCCATGCAGCATAGGTTGACATGGTGAGCTACCCTAGATAACAGTGAGTCAGCAAACCCAAAGATAACTGGCTAACCCACTAATTTCACCTGGGAGGATATTAGCATTTATTATTGCTTAATTTGTCGAGCAAAAACATGTCTGAGTCCCACCTTCTAGACTGTGAGGATTTCCTGCCTTATTTTGTCTTTTGTCAGTAGATGTCAGTACATTGAGCATCTTTAGGTTTTGGTCAAACAAAACAAGCCATTTGATGATGAATGTAGGAAATTGTGTATTTTCTGACATTTTATATTCTGAATGATTAATCAATTTAATCAAGAGAATAACCAGCAGATTAATCTGTAATAAACATAATTGTTAGTTGAAGTTCTACAGTTGAAATGTATTTACTGTAGATTAAATGGATTGAAAGGTAGCCATACTGTGTTCATCCAAATAGTAAGATGTAATACTATTCATTAACATTAACAACTTATAATGAATTGTGTCTACCTCTAAATTATTTCCCGCTTGGTTCTCCATTACAACTGGGTACAAGCTAGTGTCCGCTGCCTTTGTACCGTTAACATATGGCTGAAGAAAATATGCTTGTAAGTTCACAATATCTGTACATACTGTACTGTATAGTGTACTTTGTCATATTGTATTTGTGCTAGAAAATAGTATGCTACTGTAGCATAGACCTAATTCTCATTTAATGGGACTGAGCCACTTTAGAGTAAGCCTTATCCTGATAACGAGTTTCTAAGCCTCTTTGGAACATGGCTCATATGATTGGCTTGACTGTACTGGATCAAAGCACTGTAATCTCCAGTGTGGAGATGCTCAAAGGTTGAGAATTTCAGATCAGATTATTTCCCCCGTCATTAGTACAGTACTAAACCTTCAGAATGGCTCATCTGTAGTATCGTCTACTAATATAGACATTGTTTATGAAATGTTTTGATTTACTGCTGACAAAAAAATCAGTGGAGTATACACCGAAATTAATGAGCAGAGTAGGGAAAGAAATAAGATGAGGTATTTCACATTTAAGAGCATATGTTAAAGGGTTTGCTATTTGTACATTAGGACTGCGCAATATGACCAAAAATGTTATCACGATAAAAACATTTCATATCATTTGATATTGATAATTATCACGATATATGTCAAATCATTATTCCTTTCAAGTTTTAAGGCTGATTTTTGCTCCTGAGTGAAAATTGAAGAAACCAGATGGTTAATTATGTGGTTTTCTTTTTGGTCAGAATGTGACAAACACTTGATGCCAAACAGTAGATCACTTAACAAATCTGATGTAGAACATTCAAAACTATTAGACCAAATATTAATTAACGATATATTGAACATTAATTATATTATTGAGAAAAATTATGTTGCGATAATTATCATTATTGTTTTATTGCCCAGCCCTAATCTACATAATGAGTATTCTTGCTGCTTTCTCTGGTAAGAAAACTTATTCAAATCAGGTTTTGGTTTTGCAAACTACTTCCTACTAAAAATCCCTGTCAGTGTTAAATTACTAGCATGCTAGCATGGGACAGATGTCCCATGCTAGCATCAAGAAGTTAATATCATTTAGGGCTGAACAATTTTGTAAAAATATCTATTTGCGATTGACTGATAATGTTGCAATTGCGATATTAGAGGGAATCCTTTTTGCATAATTATTCTCATTTTAATTGAAATTCATCTTTAAGGGGATAATGATGGGATTTTTGCAAGGATCTTTACGAAACAAAGATGTTCTCTTAAGTCTGTAGAATATGATGTGTAGGCCAGGACATCTTTGCAGCACAATATTTAATTTAAAATGGGATTTTGACACACATTTCGCTATAAAACAAATATTGCACCTCCTGTGATTTGAAAATTGCAGTAGGCCATATTGCAGTTTTGCTAAGCTTTCGATTAATTGTTCAGCCCTAACACCATTTAGGCATCTCTGAAAACAAACTTCACGGAGTTAGCTGTCAGATTTTGTCACTGGAAACCGCAGATGATTTATGTTGACATTCATGTCAGCTCTTAAGTGAAGCAAAGAGATCAGTCAGTTCATGCAAACTGAGGGCCTGTAGAAAGTGTGGTTTGTCATGATCTTTGAAAGTGACAGCAATGATGAATGTATTTAATGTTTTGTGTGAATACTGTGTGTGTGTGTGTGTGTGTGTCTTCAGGGGGACTTCACCTGGAACAGCGAGTCAGGACGTAGCGTTGGCCTGAAGCCCGTCCCTCTGCAAAGCCTTTCCGAGTTGGAGAGGGTTCGTCTCCAGGACGTGGCCTATAAACGATTGTTACAGGATCGCAACCTTGGCTGCCACATCACCATCCCTAAATGTACTTTAAAACACACACACACACACACACACACACACACACACACACACACACACACACACACACACACACACACACAAATAGTCCCCATCCTTATTCACCAAGTTGCTATTCTGTCCCAAGCAAAATGGCAGAAAGTGTTTCTCTTTCTGTTTTGTTTTATTGTATTTTACATGCAAATAATTATTTTCCTTTTTGTGTAAGGGTGTAGTGCTCATGTTTGAGTGTGATAAATGCTTGATGCTTAATTGATTTCATGGTAAGATTATCTACCTTAAATGTACACTGTAATTGTCTGTTTAATTGCAGACCATTGTTGTTGTTGAGAAAATGTTTTTCTTCTTATTGTGGTTCTGTAGTCTTGTAACCTTGTCATCTACTCCCAGTCAAAACTTTTAGAGTGCCATTTATGGTACTAAGTAAAATAACGATAATGTTAACGATACGTGTTGATACTGATGATACACCTGTATGGGGGTTATGAATTAACATTCAAACTCCCTGTTTTTGTCTTGACTCTTTATGAACAGTTTGTCTGCATGTGTTCGCTCTTTTTATTGCAAAACCATTTAGGAAAGGAGACTAAGAATATTAACTGGAGCAAGCAAAAGCAGGAATATGTTAACAAGGCTTCTTTATTTAAGTGATACTTCTTTTTTCAGATGGCCACAAGAACAAGAAGTCACTTAGGCTGAAGTTGGATTCATTATCTAAAGAGAAGAGTAAAGACAAAGGTAATGTGGGATGTACTAAATATACTATACTATAGGCGGAATGTTAGTGTTCTCCATTTGCACGTTGTCTTTAAATGATCATTTCTAATGCACTCATTTGATGACCCATTGTGGATATTATTTTTAGTCTTTGCAAGCCAGTGAAGATAAGTTCGTTTGTAGGTCTGTGGAAGAGCCACTGAGTCCTGTCAGAACTTTATTCCCTGCTAGTTTCTAGTCTAGTCTTGAAAAGATTCCTTTTGGCTGAAGCTGTATAGACTCACTGAAGCAGACATTCTCAGCTGTTTATACCCATGGAGCACTGAGTGATCAGAATCTACAGTACAGTAAAGAAGTCTCAGAGGGAGCTGTGATCTTCAACTGCCGCGCCCGCTGCAACAATCTGGCAGGAAAGTGATGTTCTCTGTCAGACAGGCAGTCGAGGGAAATAACAAAAACAATCTTAAGTGGTGGCTCATTCATTACAGCCTATCCTCTGGCATGACCAGCCCTCTCTTTCCTCTTTTGTTTACAAAGGCACTTCAGAAAGTATGTGTGCCCTGACTATGAATGTGAACTGCAGAGCACTGTTCTTGGGATTTCGCTTGTCATATTTGTTTTAAGGAGCATTTATTTCAAATGTCAAGTTTGAATATAAAGCATGAATGCAGATCAAATTCTTAAAATATACAGTGTGCTGACATGACTGATGCATCAAGATGAACTTTAAGTCTCACCGTCTTGCCCTTCCCCCTCACACAGAGACTATACCCCAGGCGTTTGGCATACCATTGTCGCAGGTCATATCCAACGACCGCACACACAAGCAGCGGCATGATACCCCACGGGGGGAGCACAGCGACCCCACTGAGTTGATGCTATCCTTCCTCCACCTCACCTCCAACATCAAAAGGGCCAACAAGGAGTTCTCCAGCAGTAACTCGTCCCTTAGCTCCACTTCTGAGACTCCTAATGAATCAACTCTGCCCGGCACTCCAGACTCAGGCCCACGGACACGCAGAAGGGTAGGCTTTTATCTGTCAATAAATCTGACACGCTGTTGAAGAGCAGCAGGAAGTCTGTCTGATTAAACTTGCACACTAGATCTCTCTAGGAATTTGTGACCTTTTTTGGATAGTCACTCAGCGGGTGGATGATGCAGTCATTAAATGACTGCACTGCATTTTAACACTCACAACAGTCACTGTATGGTTGGTACCTATCTGCTTGACAGGGTGGAGTATCTGTGGATTGCATCACTGACCTTGATGACAACCAGTCTCGGCTTTTGGAGGCCCTCCAGCTGTCTCTGCCAGAAGAGGCAGCTGGCAACAGGAAGAAACACCATGACAAAAAGCTCAGCCTTAACCCTATTTACAAACAGGTGCCCAGGGTAGTGGATCTCTGCTGCCAACACCTGGAAAAATACGGTACACATTATCAAAGTTGAAAAGTAACACTAAGAATAGCTCAAATAGTGTGTAGTTTATGCTATAGAAATGTCCAGCATAGCTCTAACACATATCTCTCTAACAAATGCAGTTTGGTCAGTACCTTGTCAGTCAGATATTTTGAGCGTCTTTTGAAGTTGAATATTAGACACAATGTTGGCACTAAAAGAGCATCTTCATCTTTGCTCAGGCCTGCAGACGGTTGGAATTTTCCGTGTTGGGAGTTCCAAGAAGAGAGTACGACAGGTACAATTTCAGCTGGTTGGCTTTAACACACCCCATGCATTTCAATAAACTGTATCAACTATGAGCGACATATTTGCTGTAATTAATTGTAACAATATCTCACCCAGCTTCGTGAGGAGTTTGACCAGGGATGGGAGGTACATTTGTATGAGGAGCACAGTGTTCATGATGTAGCTGCATTGCTAAAAGAGTTCCTCAGAGACATGCCTGACCCACTGCTAACAAGAGAACTCTACACGGCCTTCATCAGCACAATGTGTGAGGAGCACATACACACACGCAAAAAAATAAGTCACAATTCTTCTGTAAACGTTCAAGTCGTGTGGTGTTTTTTTAAATTGATGTCAATGTGGTGGCCTTTTTTTCTGCAGTGCTGGAATATTCAGACCAAGAGAGCGCCATCCAGCTCCTGATATTTTTGCTTCCTCCCTGTAACAGCGACACGCTGCAGCGCCTCCTCTGCTTGTTGTCCACAGTGGCTGCACATGCCGAAGACAGTCTAGACAACGAGGGTCGTAAGGTAAAGAAACTGGACATTCCCCGTTTTTATGGCAGTGTTGGAAGCACACCTGCTTTTGTTTGGCCTGTGACAAGATGAACACAAGACAAGGTGTCGATATTTTATTCAAAGTTGACGCTTTGACAATGCATTGGGATTAAACGTATGCGGACAGGCGCTGTTGGCAGTATGTCACACATTTTGACTTGTGGATTCAACCAGCAAGTTAAAAAAATATATGGTAAGGAAAAGACCAACTATCACAGAATGATCCTGAATAGCGTAAATAAACTGTTTACAACCTTAATGGGATAGTGACGAATTCCAGCAGCCATCTGAAGGCAGTAAGACAGATGTTTGTTACATCTGCAGCCTCTAATGTGAAGGAACGTGCTGTAACAAAGCATAGCGCGTTATGCATGGTGACCCACTGTTGGAATCTTGATTAGCATAACCAACATAACCCCCTGCTGCACAAAACAACCCCACACAAACGCTGTCCATCTAAATTCATCATACGGTTTGGACATCATTTATTTCTCCAGTTTATTTACAACAAGAAGCATAAGGAAATTTTGACATAGTGGGAAACAGTTTTTATCAACTTCTACATATTGGGCCTATAGATAACAGTTTGCTGAAAAATTGTCATTGAAATCCCTGATATGATATGAAAGATATGAGATGGTAATGTGAAAGGCTGAAAGATAATGATTGATCATCACAATCTCCTTTTTTACATATTTTATATAAATTTCCCACAATGCATTTACGAATAGCGAAGTGTCTAAAGCACTTTATCAACTCATTGTCCTTGTGAACATGACTTTGCCGTTTCCCCGGGTCTTTGCTGTTTGACCTGTGCCCAAATTCACTTTTGTTGTAATGGTCACCTTTTTTTGGTAATCTTACTTTTTGACGTCTAATCATCACAGTGGAGATTATTTTTTTCCCAGGGATTTAAACCAGTTTATTCTTGGCCTTGGTCCTAGAGCATACATACTGTAACTGAACAAGAAGTGTGCTTGGTCTCTTTGAACAAAAGAATGGAGAGCCGGCCTTTTTGATGGTGGCAGAGCTGTGTTTGGTGCACATTCCCAACATTTCCAGGGAGTGCCAGGGATCGTCCATTTACAGCAAAAGAGTCAGACTCTTAATATGATATGCGTGTATGAGTATTTAATCCTATGGGTAAGGTCATGGGCAGACCAAAAGAAAATCTAGGATAAATTAGCTCCATTGTTAACTTTTATATAAATCATTTCAGTCTAGAAAAAATCTTGTAATTGCAGTGGTCAAATTTGGGTAATCGCAGATAATAATTTGGCACTGAAGTGACAGGTTTATTAGCAAAGGTGCTGGACTAGAATTTATTTTAACCGGAAGATAATGGCTTAAAAATAAAATACATTTTAATTAAAGAAATCTATCATGTCGTCCCTCATTTCAATGTGGGGCAAGTAAAAGTGAAAGTGTGGATGTTCAGTAGACTGTCCAGTCAAATAAATTCTGCCTTCTGATTTGTTTAGATCACAGGAAACAAGATGACATCACTCAATTTAGCTACCATCTTTGGACCCAACCTCTTACATAAGCAGAAAAACTCAGACAAAGAGTTTGCCGTCCAGAGTTTTGCCCGTGCAGAGGAGAGCACAGCCATCATCGGCGTAGTCCAAAGGATGATCAATACATATGATACACTATTTATGGTAAGCCATCTTTAATGCACACCAAAATACATTCAAGCAAAAGACAACCCTGGGTTTAATGTAACTATCTCAAAGTCTTAGTCAGGTCTTCTGTTGGCAAAATAGTGTTTATAAGGGAGTTCTTAAGCTTAATAGAGTGAAGCCACCTAATAAAATTTAAACATTATCTTTATGGGTTTTGACTAAGCTTTTACAGTTACTTGCAAGACAAAGTAGAATCACAGTAAAACACAAAACTTCATGCAGTTTGTTTTTTCTCTCCTGAACCTGGAGAGGTTAATAAATGTCATGTTGTTTATAGACAATGATTGGGAACAAGACCAAGATCCTCATCCACATTATGGTTTCTGCTTTTCACCAGAAACATAGCAGATGCAATTAATTCTGAATCTGAGAATGATCTGTTAAAGAAGCCAGAGGGGAAAGGCACATCAGACACTTGCTCTACAGTATTAGTTCTGTTTTTCTAAACTGCTGTTAATGAGTCTCACCAACAAACCATACACACAACATAAAGTCTCTGTTGAAATTGCATCATAGACACTATGTAAAAATTGTTGATGTAAAAGCGCAATTTACCAAATGCTCTAGTGATAATGCTGTTATTTGTATGCTTAACAGAAACGCTAACTAATTAATTTTGAGAAGTGTATACTTCTGTCATTGTTTGGTTCAGTTCAGCTGTGCTTACTTATTAAGGCACAGTGAAATTAAGGTAACAAAGAATAAAATGTTAGCTCTTCTTTTGAGCTTCAGTGAAACTGAGTTTTGATTCTCCCAGGTTCCTGCTGACCTGCAGAATGAGGTGCTGATTAGTTTGCTAGAAACTGATCCTGATGTTGTGGATTACTTACTGCGGAGGAAGGCCTCTCAGGACTCGTGAGTTCCCACCTTTTCTCTCTGTGTCTGTCCAGGGCCGAGGGTGGGGATGGGGGCCTGACAGCTATGTGTGGACTAAAATGCTGGACCCCACAAGTTTAAAGGGTTATTAGAGGGTTTGTGTCCCTCTGCCCAAGCCACGATCATTGTATATATGATATACATTGTGTTTCCTTTGTTACTGCAGAGAACCAGACCTTAGAGCAGAAAAGTCCTCTCTGACTGAGAGACGCTTATCCAATGACTCCATCAAAGCATCTAGTGGAGAGGTGTCTCCCTATGACAACAACTCCCCTGTCCTGTCAGATCAACTGCTGTGTAAATACCCAGAGGACAGCAGTCCATTCTCAGACATGACCCCCAGACATTCTGGGCAGTATAAACTCAGTGGCTATTCTAAAGACGGATCTGGCAGCACCTCTCCTACACCTTCTATGGACAAAGGTGAACAAAATCTATTGTAACATATACTTAAGATTTTTAAAAGTATAATTTAAAGGAATAGTTTGACAATTTCAGAACTTTGCTTATTTGCTTTCTTGCTGACATTTAAATGAGAAGATTGACACCACTCTCACGTCTGAGTATGTAGCTGGAGCAAACAGCCAGTTAGCTTAGCTTAGCATAACGGCTGAAAACGAGGGGAAAACCGCTAGCTGGACAATGTCCAAAGGCAACAAAATGTTTATAATAAGTATGTATTATAAACAGATTTATTATAAACATTTGCATATACAAATGTGCATACAACAGTATTCAAAGAAGATTAAAATCAATTGCAAATGGAATTTGCTGATACTTCGCCTCTCATCCATGAGGCTTCTTCAGTTCTAGATGAACTGAACTATGACCTAGATGACTTCACAGACATTTTACATACAACACATGCATTTATAAACATTTGCACCATTTGCTAGCTTTTTTCCAGTTTTTGTGCAAAGTTATGCTAACTGGCTGCTGGCTGTAGCTTCATATTTACCTAATGCTAACTCTAGATTAGTAGGTAGTCTTAGTCTTTCTTAGTTATGGTCAGAAACATCCTTAGCATGTTTTAGCTTTTTAAAACATATGTGAGAAATGCACTGTATTTTATATTAATATAATAATCAATTAAACCTCATTCTGTTCCTGTTAGAGGCCTCAACTGATCATTTCTGGGACACCTGGCATGAACTGTTCAGCAAGGATTTTACTGGCAATCATATCACCGGTAATATTATCTTCTATGCATGTTGTTGCAGATGGTCTTGAGATATGTAATGAATGCTGGATGTTAACGGATGGTTTCTCCCAGGCTCGCTTGGAGACATGTCGGAATGTGAGTCGTACGGATCATCAGAGGGGCTGAGCAGTCACCAAGGTAACAACAAGCTGCCCGTCAGGCCAAAACAAACCTCATTGGGTGTGCTGGAAATCAGGCCACACCTCCCAGTGACTCGCAGCAGCAGTGGACCTCATGACCAAAGAGGACAGGGACAACCGCAATCGTCATTACATCAGGGATTGACTGGCCAATCAGAAGCCGTCAGCTCGGACAACTTGGCACAAAGGACAGGACAGCCTGCATGTCCATTACTTAAGGTCAAGACGAATAGTTTGTCTCCCCTTCAGTACTCTGGGCAACTGAGGGAGACTCACATTTCTCACTCGATGCCCTCCCTCTTCACGTATCAGCCTGACACCCAAACCTCACAGCAGTCCCAGCAAAGCCCTGCCCTCCAGACTGTAGATGCCTCTGGGCCTGGGCAGGAAAAAGGCCATGGTACACCGAATTGTCAGACGGAGAGATGGCATATATGGCAGATACTATCAAAAGAAAATGCAGACGCCCTGCCTGAAACCTTGGTGTGATGCTTCCTTTGACTGTACTATACTGATAACTTTAAGAGAAAGGGGTCATTCATCATCATCAGTCACACACACAAACTGTTTCTTAGATGTGTTATTATTTTGCAAGGGGGTTTTAACTGTATAAATGTTGTTGAATATGTCAACATAATATAAAATGATTGCTTTATGGAATTTTGAATGTTTTTTAATGTTGAATGTAAAAATATAGATACTGTTTGTGTTGTAATATTGCTTTAAAGTTGTAGTTCCTTGATATATACTGCTACTACTTTAACACTGAGTTTTCTACTGTCTTAAGCGTGGAAATGCTGCAGCCTATGTGCGTATTACCACCCATGTCTTGATTTCTTTCATAATATGATATAAATATGTTTTGAATATGGGCTCTTACACTGTATTAAGTGTAATTTTAATGAACTTTTCAGCACTCACTGCCTGTGTATACATGCTATTTTTTGTATTTAAGAAGCAGGAATAATGGTTAAGCAGCATTATTCACGGGGATATATTTGTAAATGTAATGTACTTTGTAATTTAATGAGAAACAATTATACATGCTTGTTGCCCTTCTTGTCTGATACCTTTAAATCCAATGGAAATCAAATTGCACTCAAAGTTATGTATCATTAGCCTCAGTATGTGACTGGAGATCAGTCAGACTGTCATTAGTTAGTTATATCTTCAAAACTGTAGACAATTTGTAAGTACTGGAAAATGGCAGCCTGAATTTTAATTACTTTTGTGGTATGACATGAGACAACCTAAGCTAAAAACCTAAGAAGAGTCAAATAAGTGAGGGCATAGTGGCATAGGTCAGGACATGCAGTTATGAGTATATTCTGTTCAAGTTATACTTTGTTCAGAAGACCCCTCTCCACCTCCAGGCTAAAACAAGGACTATAGACAAATGTTTCTATTGACATGGGTGCCATGTGGTTATGGCAGGAGGTGGCACTTGTCAAACTTACTGAATGTGACAATGATTTTGTAATTGTGCAAAAAAAAAAAGTAGATACAGCAAAAATGTTTTTACAAGTTAGATGTATATTACCAAGAAACATGAAGCCCATGAGCGTTACTGGAATGTTAGTGTCTGTTGTCTCTCTCTGTCTATGCTTTTATTTGTATTACATTTGTATTCATCTTTGCACCTTAAGTGGGGCTATTGTATAAATTAATTAGATCTTTTTAGGCCATTTTTAGCATTATGTAATGATATACATCATACATTTGTATCTATACTCTTTAAAAGTGACAACAAATGACAAATTCAAATATGTTACCACCAGTGTAGAAAATGAATGTAAAAGTCAGTAGGGTGCACATTGAACTCAATTATGGAACCATTTTTCCTGGTGCCAGGTAAACATCTAACTTGACCCTCTCCCCCAGGAGGTCATTCAGGAATCAGCATGAAGTTAAAAGCAAATGGATACCTAATTATGGTGAGCAGTACAGATTCTGCTGTCTAAAATGTAGTTCAGAAGACAATCAAACAGTTACCCAAAGTGACCAGAAGAGGGTATCATAAGACCAGGAAATGGTGTTCCATTTCCTTGCCTCCTCACTGCCTAATCCTTGTGCATTGTGGAGATACAGTGAGTTTTAATGACTCATTACACTTTGAACAGCTATTAGTTTCTTCCTATTAGACTCCTTTTCTCACCATGATAGGAAAGATAGTAATTTCATGTGTTATGGAAGATGGTTTGAAAAGATCAAAATTTGCACTCTATCTTGTATGCTACCCCTGAAGAGTACATTTCTTTTTTCTGTTAATGAAAATAAGAGATCTGAGCTCAGACAATAACAGTAACATTACCATTAAATAAACCTTTGAAGTACTGGAATTGCAAGAGGTGCTCACAATAAATATGCAATTACGCAGGAAATGGCTAACATGGCAATCTGGTACAAATTACAGTTAGTTCAAAAAAATATAGAAATGCATATTTGAGGATACGACAGGATTGTTAGTTGCCTTAAAGTGATGAAAATGATTTATTGGTGGAATTGTGCAATTTCATAGAATGTCTGTATCAAAGTAAGTCGTCTGATTATGTTTTGACAATAAACTTGTCAAGTAACCTTGTTAAGCCAACCCAGGGGATTTCCTCAACACAAATTTCTGTGGTTAAACTTTCTAGACCATATCTGTCTCCACAGCTGTGTGAGCTGAGCTGTAGTTGGCCACCACACAGTCCCATTGTAACAAGACCAAATAGACAGAACAGGATGTCTTGATATGTTTTACAAAGAGTCACTGCCGTTTGCTTATACGCTTTTGCATCTGCTCCGCAAATGTAGCAGTCTGCCTTAACACTATCCCACTCAATGTCCTAACCACTAACCGGCCAAGAATTGGGGGAAATTTCTTAATTTGTGACCTGCCTCCTGAGAAGTAAACAATCAAGATCAAATATTTAATTTCACATCTTATCTTTGCAGCTCTGTTGGATGTAAGTTGATCCGTTGGCAGAGAGCTGCGACTGTTCCCAACAGGGGGTCCATCTTGTATGAGTCCGCTCACTGGCATCAGAAGCAGCTGCAGGGAGGACAGAGGAAGGTCACACAACCAAAATGAGGTTGACTGTCTAGAAACAAGAGAGTCCCGGCCCTGGTGTTTCAAGGTCAAGATTGATACACAAATCTCCACATAGAAAACACCTCATTTGGTGTCGGTTATGATCAAATAATTTGAAATGAAATGCTATAAAGCCTCAGTCCATTTTCTGTCATTTTAGATACCAACTCTGGGCTACTTAATATACAGCTGTGTACTCACTGTTTTTCAATAACCTGCCATGCATCTTAAGTGCTTATTTACCTTAAGGATTTACTCCTCAAGCTTAGTGTTAATATATTTTTTAAATTAACTTTATACCAAAATCAGGAAGTGTACCTTAAAGTCAAATATAGTTCTTGCCATCGATGTTAAGTTAATGAGTTGCATTTACATTTTCAAAAGATGAGACAAGAAGGTATTTTCTGCTGTCCACGTGTCCTCCATTGTATCAGAAAATGTATTAGCCTCTGGTAGGGAGGGACAGTATACAGCTATGACAGTATATGACAATAATGAACTAACACAATGCCCATGATTTCACTAATGGAACAATGTGCATTACAATAACCAGCAGATTATAAATGAATGTAAGAGTGACACAGGACCCAGATGTCAATAATAGTGTCATATAGGAGTGATGGTCATGACTGGATAATAAAGTTTATTTCAATGTTCCAGATTAAAGGATTCGCAGTGATTGCATTAAGCCTCTCAGATTAGTCCATTTCAACACTTTATGAACAAAATGTGAAGTTTTAGATAGCAAGTGTTCCACTGATAAGACAAGTCTAAGCAATTTGGTGCAATTTTCGACTGGATTTGGATTCTGAGCAACACTCCTCTCTCTTCTTTGGAGGGGGATGTTTGAAGCAGTGCTTTCTAGTTAGATTTCTGTAACTTTTAATTTAATTCCAAGGCTTTCCAAAATCGACTTATATATTTATCTGTTTGGAGATTATCAGGCTACTATACATTTTCTCCTCTTTTCTACAATCTCAGTCAAGCAACGCCAGAGCTGTGTGTTTATGCAGCCCACAGAATTTCATTTGATTCACCCCATCTGCACTGCCTCATGCTCCAACTGGGATTCATTTGATAAATATTTCTCATATTGAAACTAGGCCCACGTTGTACCCAGAAACACGGAAGAAAATGTGTTGAATATGTTAATTTTCATGTTTGTGTTCAAATGATCACAGTACACACATGCAGTATGCTAGTGGGCGCACATGTGGTTGTGCTGTCCCAAATATACCGTGGCTTTTAGAGAGCATATTGCCAGCAGCATTTTCCTTTCCCCCCCTTGGGTCCACGATACAGCAGTTCAGTTGGGATAGGGCGGGATTTGTATCGGGTGGGACAGGGGATCAAGTTCGGTCAACCTATGTCAGTTCTTTGGCAGGCTGTGCAATGAATGGTTTGCTGTTTAAATAGTGTTAACAGCACACTTCATGGCAGCCACACACCTCAGCCACACACCTCAAAGGCAGTTTTCTACAGGCTGTTTTGTTCTCCCTTCAGACTTGCGCAACAAACAAGAGAATTATGTGGCAGAAACAAGCACTCCCATGCAACATTCAGAATTAGAGCATCCAGATGTTTGCCTCCAAAGCTCGTTGTTATCAGGCTTGTTTTATGGGACAGCTATGAACACATACCAATTCTATCTCCTTTCATTTTATTATCTTTTCTATGTATTTTTCTCAGCTGACATTCTAGTTGAGATTATCCTCAAGTCATTTAGCACTTACTTAGCATATTTCAAGTTTAAATACTTTTCTTGTTATGACTGTATTTATTTACAGAAAGATCTTTTTAAGTTTTTAAATGCAGTTTTGTTTTTGCAGGTTCTGCCTGTGATGTCCATTTTGCAACTGACAGTGCTATCATGTGAAATGATATCATATTCAGCACATATCAGACTAAAGGGTGGAGGCTAATAACGTAAACATCTGTGCCTGTGCAACTCTCTGTTGTATTCTGTTTATATATTTTGTAGCAAAACACAAGTGATCATTACCAGAAAATATTCAAGTTGTTTGATTCTTGTAGAGAAGCTGACAGTTCTTGGCATGCTGCAGGCTAGGTTTGTTAAAATTCCATGTAATTCCCCTACGTACTGTACACTGGCTGCAAGATAAGCTGCTGCTTAAAGCCTGCAGGAGACACATAGTATTAAATCAAGCCTCAAACATATAATCATGCTTTTATGCGTCAAAGAAAACGCCATTAGTAAATAATTAAGCAGAGTATCGACCTGGGTAATTATCAGAGTGACTTCAAAAATGAAACAGCGTTACAAAAGAAAACACACAAACACTTTGGTATTATGGCTGCGTTTTTTTGTGAAAGAAGAATGGCTCTAATCACCACCTTGAAGATGTCACAACAGTAAAAGTTCTCTCTGAAACTTCTCCCCACTGTGTCTTCCCTTTGGTCTTAATATTCAGATATGTTTTCAGAAACGTGCTGATTTAGCAGATTCCAGAAATATGCTGTCTCAAACAGGTGTGTCTCTGGTTTTTCGACACACAATGCATTTATATGCAGGTCATTGAGAAATATGTTAGCAACCACCTAGCAACAACCAATAATGCACCAGCAAACACTAGAAACAAAGCTACCAACCACATTAGAAACCATCTAGTCCGCATGCTGTGATCATTGTAATTAAATTGTAGTTTAATAGTTTGAAAGGCAAAACAAAGACAGTTATAACCAATTGTTTAGAAGTGTCCTGCATAATACCATCCAATTTTAAAATCTCATTTCAAGGAGCATAGCATTTAAAAGCTGTTTTTCCTTGGTCTGAGTGAACCTAAGTTTTGTCAAGCGTAAATTGTTATTGAGTAGCTGTTAATGAGGAGTGACTTTCCAGTGAAAGTTCAAGTATGAAGGAAACTTATTAATACAAACAGGCGTTTTACAGAAAAGGCCAAACTATAGAGCAAAATGGTGAACCAGGAAAGTTCAATGCTGTATTTGTATGAATAACCAAACATCACCAAGTGTTTTGATTTAAAACCAAAAGTATGAAATTAGTTTAATCAGAATTGAGCAAATGTTTCAGACTAAGTAGTTTGTGAATGGTGCTGTCGCCTTGGGAGCTTTCTGAAGCTCTCCTTCTGTGTTTTTGATCCCAGAAGGCCAAAGTGCCACCAATCGTCTCTGTAGTCCCAGTAACACATTTGTTATGATCTCCAAAGCAAGTGATCTGTAAATGTTCCACTGTTCCGTCAGTCTCAGCAGTGACGGCATCAACTCTAAATAACATCTAGATAACGCAAAATGGCATGCACAAAGTGGAGATGCGCAATACTGTATCAGCCTATATCATTATCAGTCTAATATGTTTTAACTAGATAAAAATTAATACTACTAATAATACTTTGTTTGAACACATACTTTTGAGACATGACTTCATGCTAATGTACAAATCTGCAAACGTGTCAAATCTCTGTTAATCTGCTGAGGTTGGTGTTGGGGGTTGGCTTTGTCATCAAACTCCATATGCTCAAATGAATCATACTGTAAAGGTGTAATCATCCCACCTTAACAAGTGTGGAAAAAATTCCCTCTCATCACCCACCTTTTTTCTTGTCTGGCCTCCTTGATATGTAGGCAGAGCTCGGCATCTTGAAAGCTGTGGCAAACTCTTTGAACAATTTAGATTGTATGAAAGCTTAAAAATACAATCCAAACTACTCCAACTTTATAATAATGGAACTGAACCTTTCAATCCATGCTGATCTGTTCTAATAGACAAGTTGACATTTATTCATGGCCGCCTATCCAGAGTTCATCACTCTTTCCAGTCAGATCAGATCAATTCATTGGATAGACTCAACTCAATTTAAAAATTACCAAATGATTTGTAGACTGTATCATTGACACTTATTCATTTATAAAGCCGTTTTTGGTAAACTCCCATCATATATTTGGACCCTGATTGCACAGAAATCTGTAGCTGTTGTTTTAGATCACAAGATATGGTCTTGTTGTCTGTTCCAGGTGTATGGACGGAACCGGGAAGGAAAGGTTTTATGTGCTCTGCCACCCTCACTTGAAACGGCCTTCCAAAATACTTGAAACTAAGAGAATTGGTCTATGTCGGATTTTTAAGCTCTTGTAAGTGTAAGGATGAATATTTTTAAAGTTTGTTTAATTATTGATGCGTAAATGTATGTCTTAAATGTTTCTTGTTGTATCGTTGTCATCTGTAACCTCATATTATGCTGTTGTCTTGGCCAGGTCATCCTTAGATAGGTGATCTCAACAGGTCTTACCTGGTTAAAATGGGTAAATGCATATTTTTTTAAAAGTTTTGTTGGGAAGCTGTTTTGAATTACTTCTTCTCAACCTTCTGACCTGCAGACCTTCAGCAAGATGGAGCATAATTCAAAAGTGTTTGTCTCCAATTGAAAAGAGTTTGAACAGCAAGAGTTTGAATTCCAGCCCTGCAACCTTGCATCCTTTTATAACTTCGACTTTCTCACAGGAAGGGAAAATAATAAAGTGCCATTCAGGAGATGGCA